TTAAAACAAATAATTGATAATTTGAAATAGGAAGAAAAGGTCCAAAGGGGTAGGGGTGGTGGGAGGGGAAGGGGAAAGGAAAGGAGGGAAAGGAAAAATTATGAGAAAAAAAAAATGGAAACAAAGTCTTTGTAAATAGGGAAGGGTGGAGGGGGTGAAGGGCGCACCGGTAATGGGGAAAAAAATAAGAACCAAGATACTCATGTACAGGTACCAGCACCCAATGATGAATGTAAACGTACTGTATACCTAAAATGTACCAATAAAAGAATTTAAGGAAAAAAAATTTATGATCCTTATGCCTCAGCTTTCCAAGGATTACACGTATGTGCCACTACATCCCATCTCCTAATCATTCTTGAAGTGCAGAAAGACTTTGAAAAACTGGAGACAAAAGGCCTAAGTTCAAGTTTTTCCTTATGGTTCTAGATAAACATTATACTCTCTGGACCTTGACTGTAAAGCAGTGATAATAATCCCTATCTCCTGGAGTTTTTAAGACAAAACCAGCAAAGAGCTCAATGAAAATTTACAGTTATTAGTAGGAAAGGGGAAAGTCTTTATACATTTCTTCATTCCCCCTGAATGCCAGTGATCATCAGATCAGGGTCTAGCCTGGATGGAGAATGAGGAGAATGACAGGATTATGAACAATAAAGAGAACAGAACAGCTCAAAACAGGGAAAAGGTAAAGCCCAGTTACGAATGAGCACAGAGGCTCTTCATCGGGCCCTGGATTCTGTTCGAGACATGAGTTTTCCTGCCTGGTAGGCTGAATACTTTATTTCAGGACCGAAGTATTTCTTATGGAAGCACAGGCTCTGTTTCTTTTCTTCAGCATTTATAAAGAGTGACCCAATAGGATCCCCGGTGAGCATGTGGTTACCCTCTAAGGGAAATCTTCCAAGACACAACAGACAGGTGGTTCCAGGAGTTAAAAGAGTAAAAGAGATGGAATGGAGAATCAAAGGAGAGGTGACCCTTCCTGGAACCATAACCTCAGAGGAAACAGTACGCTGGAGCGAGAAGGGGAAGCCACAGGCTCACAGGACAGCAGCTGGGCCGGGCCACAAGCACCTGAGGCAAAGTCAAATGCATTCCTGAACCAGGTGAAGTATGCCAGAGGTCTCTCGTTTTGTACAGGCCACATTCGTGTGGGACTGCGTAGTGGCAAGCCACCGGGAGGAACAATGGACGGGAGAGCTTGCAATGCGGGATAGAATTTCACCATCCTGAACTCCTGGCAGAACCTTCCTCAAACTACAGCCTGTAGTCCAGATCCAGGTCCAGAAGCATCCCTCTCCTAGCTCCTCCAGCTGTTGGTAGTCAGGCGGTTCCAAAGAGAAAGTGCTTCCAAAGCAAAGTGCTCCTTCCCGCCCGGCAACCTGAAGCCCCAACATTGGAAGGCGGAGGAGCGGGGGCGTGGGAGGGACTACAGGTCCCAGCATGCACCGCTGCAGGTCCCCGCAGACGAGGGGCAAGGCAGGGCGGAGTCAGTGACCTCGCCGGGGGAACGGGCCCGGGAATGCAGCGGGATCTTTTTTTTTCTCGGCCAGGCCTAAGCCCCGAGCACACAGGGCCCTGGACCAAGACACGCTCCCAGGAGCCGCTCAAGTCCCAGCTAGTGTTCAAGTCCCAGGTGGGCAGCCTGGGGAGTTCCTGGCGCAGCCTGATTGGGGCGGCGCCGCGCAGGACAGGCCCAGCCCGGTGCGCGCCGCCGTGGTCCCGGCAACCGTCCGACTCCCTCCGCCTCGAGCACCCTAGTTTCGGCCCGGGCTCCCAGGGCCTCGCGCCAGCCACGCCACCCGCTCTCACCTTCAGCACGCCCTCGTCCTGCTTGGGGCTGATGTCCACCCCCTCCAGGGGCAGTGGCGCCGACTGCGCCCCGCTCTCGGCCGCCTTCATCTCCTCGGCGGTCATCGCCGCTCGGCGCGCGGGAGCCTGCGGGCCTGAGCTGAGGAGACGCTGGGTCTGCGGGCTCCGAGGGGCCGAACGCCGGCGCCCACGCACGCAGCAGCCCACGCTCGCGCACCTCGCGGCAGGGTCGGCCAGCGGAGTCAGGCGCTCGGTGTGTGTGTGGGGGGGCGGGCGGAGCGGCGGGCCGCGAGTGGTGCCGCCCTCCGGGAGGCGGGGCTGGGCGGAGCCGCGCGGGCGCGGCGGGGTGGGGCGCAGAAGTTTCTAGAGCCGGTAACCGGGTAAGGGCCGCGGTGTCCCTGGCGCCCTCGGGACGCCTCGGACTGGTCTCGCCCGAAGGCTGCCGGCTTCCCGACTTACGGGGCCCTGCGGGACTCCAGGCACCGCCTTCCTTCTCCCCGCCCGGGTCAGCTCCTCCCCTGCCCTCTTCCCGCCGTCCCGGACGCTTCCAGATCCTTCTGGATCGCGTCAGCCGCCGCCCGCGCCCCTCGCGGCGGTGCTCTGAGTTGCGGCCGGCTGGGCGCAGGTGAGTGACCGCCCGCCGCCCGCCGCCCGCCGCCCCCACTGGGTTTTGAGACAGGCCCTCCTAATTCAGGCTGACTTTGAACTTACTGTGTTGCCCAGGCAGTCCTCCAACTTGCAGTGATCCTCCCGCCACGGCCTTGTAAGTGCTAGGATTACAGGCATGGGGGACAACAGCTGGATTTCTGCATCTTTTTTTTTTTTTTTGAACATTTTTAACTATTTCATGCTTTATTTGACATTTTTTTTTCTTTATCTTTCTTTT